ACCACAGATTTGTGGATAGCAAAAAGCAAATATAGATATTTGGGTGTCACTGCAATATGGCTTACACCTGACTTTAAGTTCCAAGAAGCATTACTTGCGTGCTATCATATGCCTTACCCACATACTGGTAAAAGTATCAGCGAAGAGCTTCTTAATATAATTCATAATTGGAATTTAGAAAATAAAGTGTGTGTTATTACTACTGACAATGATGCGAATGTTGTAAAAGGAATAAGGTTATTGAACGATAATCATTTATTAGAAATTACCCGGCAACCTTGTGTTATACATACCCTTCAGTTGACTGTTAAAGAGGGATTAAAGCAAGTTAAACCTATACATCAGTGACTTAAAAGTATTCAGGCATTTTTCCGTCTTCCAAAACAAGCACAGCGATTATGAGAGTCACAAATGCTTATCAATTCAGCAAATTTACTCCAGGATGATAGTATGAATAATCCTCTTGAAGTGTTAATGGATTGCAAGACTAGGTGGAGTTCATCTTATTTAGCTTGGAAAAGAATCCTAGAACTGCATCCAGCAATGCATACACTGGCCATGTCATTACAGAATAAACCAAATACAGCATTAAGAAAAGAGGGTGATAAACTTGATCAATTATGTTTAACTTCTAATGAAAAAAAGTATAATTTTTTTTAATAATTTTATTATTGTATCAATAATAAAAAATTATTTGTATTATTATGTTATATTTTTTAATAAAAATATTTTTATTTAAAGATTACTTGAAGAAATGGTTGAAATTTTAAAACCTTTTGAGGAAATAACAAGGCACGTTTGTGGTGCCAAATACTCTACAATGAATCTCGTATATCCGTACATTCAAATGTTAAAAAATAAGTATACTCCAATAGCTGAAAAAGGTGAATCCATTGAATCTTGGTTAGATCTTATCTACAGACCCTCATCAGATTCTGAGGAAATTGCAGATAGTAATACAAATGTTAGCAGTGATAACAAAGCTAACATACCATCAGCTGGGAGTAGAAAACAATGGCAATATGCGCATGCTTATCGAAGTGTATACCATCGAGAACATGGTTATAATCATGTGAAAAAATATAAAAAAAATTGTGTAAATAGAATAGAAGAACTGGATAATTCAGATGTAGTAAGATATTTACCTTCTGCAAACTATGATAGGCTCTTAGAAAGAATGCGTGCTGCAATTTATTTGTCTCTTGACAAATTATGGGATATTATTCATGAAATTAGATTAAAAGCTTCTCTGTTAGATCTGCACAAATTAAAGCTACTTTTATTTGCTACTTCTACTGAATGAAGAAATATAGAAAATCAAATTCGTGAAAAATTACTTTTATTAGAACCTAACCGTAATAATAGTGATACAAAAAGAACACAGACTACTATAGAGGAAGATTGTGATTCTTTAAGTGCTGAATTATAAAGCCCGCATTCAACACCTGTTTCACAAACTGCTACTAAGGATAAATTAACAAAGTATTTAAGAGAACAAATTGCATCTAAGAATCAAGACCCTTTAGTATGATAGAAACAAAGATATGCAAGTTTCCCGTTGCTTTGTCAACTTGCCCATAAGTATTTATTTGTTCCCGCAACATCGGTTCCATCTGAACAGTTATTTTCTGATGTCGATGCTCATATTTCAGCAAGAAGGACTTACCTTTCTCTAGATTTAGTAAACCAGATGCTGTTTTTAAAAAGAAATAGTAGCCATTTTTCAATTTTATTATTAGACAATGAATAGTCTTTCTTATGAGTTGAAAAAAATGATACTAAATTCATTAATTAGATTTGTGCGACTATATTTCTAAAGATCATATAAGTGATAATAAAATAAGGAATTAAACAACAAAAAGTTATTGTTTGTGATTTCTTAACTCATGTAATTTTTAAAATTGATTATTAAAGAGCATGAATCAAAGTGTAATCAATTTTTTTTAGCCCAAAAGAGTATAAGGTAATATTTATTTAATTATACTTCGATATAATTACAAGAACACTTTATTTTATTACAAAAGTTTAAACATATATAATAATGCCTTCAAAGAATAAAAAAAAATCATATTTAATATAAGAACAATACGTTATATATCATTCAAGTTTAATAAATGTAGTTTTTTATATCTGTATCTTTGAAAGCGTTTGAGAATCCGACTATAAAATATACTACATAATGTTAGCAATTATTCGAACTGATAAACATTTTAAAATTTTTTTTCAATTGTCGGCAGAGTATAAGATATACATGTGCGTATATACGTACGTACTAGGGTGGTAACTCAACTAAACTATATAAGCAAACAATGGAAATTGATATATTACCAATATTGCTGACATAGTTTTGATTTACTTAGTTACCATGATACATATGTACGTACGTAATATTTACATTAGTCAGCAGATCTTAAATTATATATAGATATCAATTTGAAATTACAAATTTAATCGAATCGGCCTCAGGATTTATGATATATATATAATTAAATCCGTATATATAATTAAATCTGGATATATAATTGAATCTGGATATAATTATAAATCCAGATATATATATTTGGATTTATTTTTATATCCGGATTAATTATATCCAGATTAAACATGGATCATATTTTTAATTACTAATTATATCTGGATATAAATATAAATCCGGATGTTAACTCTAGTTGTATCCAGTGTTATAAATTCAAAAAATTTTTATTGGCGCAAATGCAAAAAAAAATATGACAAAGAAAAATTTATACGCGTGTTCTATGTACGCGGAGCACTGATATATGTGCAAATTTAAATCCATGTGCGCTGCGTCTACTACGCCGATCCAATTTACATCACTGGTTGTATCCTTGTGAAATTAATATAATATTGTGATTACCTGAATAAAGCTAAGTGCTGGGGACCTAAGTGGTCACCTTAATATTAAAAAAATATATATATATTCATATAAAGATTTTAAAGAAGGAAAATTAATCATTTTTTCTAAAACATTCTAATTTTTAAAATTTCAGACAAAGGTTTATTAATAACTAACAGTGCAAACTTGATGAAATTTTTTTATATTAATTCTATAACTTAAGAATTAAAAATTTTTTTATTTAATTTGATTATATACTTGTCAAGTAATATAGAAAAAAAATTTTTAACCATGGCTTCTTTTTGATGGACATTTAACTTCAAACCAAGATTTTCTTTTTATTTTAAAAAATTTCATATAATTTGATATCAAAAAATTTTTATTCAAAGTTAAATGTCCATCAAAAAAAAGCTATGACTAAATTTGGTTTTCTATATTAAAATGAATATTACTCAATAAGTACCTGATAAAATTGAATATAATTTTTTATTTTAATTCTACAAATCTAGAATTAAAATAAGAAAATTTTTCATCAAATTGAACTGGTAGTTGTTAAGAAATCTTCATGTAAAGTTTTGAAGTAAAATTTACCTAATCTTTTTTGATATAATTTTTTTAAACTTTAAGTGAAGGTTTTTCAATAACTAACAGTGCGTATTAGATGGTTATTGAAAATCTTCGCTAGAATTTTAAAAAGGATCTTTAGTCCTATGACCTGAAATTTTCGTGGTTGCCTTGGTGGATTTATCGTGAACCAAGTTCATGATATTATGTGTGTTTCTTTAAATAGTTTCTAGACTTTTTAAACTTACTATTTACTAAAACTTTTTAAAAATTATAGTTTTACCTGTATTAATATTCAAACTGAAAATTTAACCACAAGAATTAAATGATATACTGTATATCATAAAATGAATACAACTCATGTTCTGACAACATACAAGAGAATTTCACTAATAGTTGTAATCTATATTGTAGTAACCGATGATAGCCGCCTTGGACTATAAGGTGTTATATCTCATGTGGGCTCATTATTTCTGTAGTCAAAAAATATTTGGTATTATATAGATATAATATAATAATGTATTTTAATTATTATATTATTTTTACAATTGAAAATTTCATTTGAAATGTAACAGAGAATACTCAGTAAAATATGATGCTTATGAAGTGATTGTCTATTAAATGAGCAGTACCAATTATTTTTATCATATAAAATTGAAGCACTTTCTTAGCGTTAAAGTACGTAGTACATATGTAGCCAGATGCTTATTTTATTATATAAAGTTTAGCGTTAGTAATTCACAAAAATAAAACATCTAATTATAGAATTTAATGCTGATCTAACCTTAAGATAAAATTTTTGTCAACAGAAATACCGATACAGCAAGTCGTGGCAATAAGTAAATCCAATAGGAATGAAAGATAGTGCTCGGCAAAATCAAACAAAAACTCGATTATCGAGTTTTTGAATCTATCAATTTACTATATTGAGAATTAAATACAAATTTTATCTTTAGTATATATATAAATCTAACAGGAATCCGATCTTACTTTAGTCTTCATAGTAACTAACATGAAGTTTAAAGTCAGATTAGAGTAAAAATAGATTCTATAATTGAAGCATAATACTACAAATCGATAGATTCAAAAACTCGATAATCAAGTTTTTATTTGATTTTGCCGAGCACTAGCTCGACCTATATTAAGTATTAAAAAAATATAAGGCGGATGTTTCTCTAAATATTAAAAAAAAAAAAAAATAGTTTAATTAACAAATAATATATATTTATAAAACAAAGTAATATAAAATAAAAAAAAAACTAAATAAAAATAAAATAATATACTTTTATAATTTTTGTTTTTATTTTTATATAACTTTAAATTTAAACAAATTTATAAATTATTAATATAATAGTTATACTTTGAGATTTTCAATTATAAGATTGCTATTTCAAATCTATCTGATAATAAAATTAAAATTAATATTAAAACTTTAATTTAAAATAACTAAAGTTATTTAAAATATAGTTAGATATTACTTGAACTCAATAACCATAATCTGGCTTATAAGTCTTGTGCTATTAGTTTTTAGTTAACAACAGACCAGTTAAATGTTAGTACAATTTATAATAAATAAGTAGTAATGTATAAACTAGCCTATACAGAAATAGGCAAAACTAAATATTGGTACAAGGTTTACTTGATAAAACTACAGAAAAACGGGTCAAATGAAGGCAAATCGGGGTCCAATCAGCATCACGCAACCCTGATATGGACCTTTAGGATACAAATTGAGTTCATACATAGACGTTCAAAACATATCGGAATGCTAATAGCTTCTATTGATAAATTGAATAAAAAGAGAAAATTGTTTTTGAATGCAAATAATTTTTACACTTACTAATCAATATAAATAAAATAATTATAATTTTTAATGTATTTTTATAAATATTTTTAATTTGATAAATATATTTTTTTTAAATTAAAAAGATGTTCTAATAAAAACATAACAAAAAATTTTCAACTCTGATTTGAAGACCCAGCCCGCCTAGTTTGGGCCTAGATCGGATTCAAAATATCTTTACCGGGTTTATAAAAACCCGGCCTGGCGCGGTCCATTCCGAAGATATTATAAAAGTTTGACTATATTAAATTTTATAATATATAAAACATTAAACTGTATTAAAAAAGCGGGTTTAAAATAAAATATATAACTTAATATATATCAAATTATATAATAAATAATTTTATTTTAATTTTCTTTTTTTATAAATATTTTATTTAATATACTAACCTTTTATGTATGCATTTTATAAAAGCTATTAATTCGGTACACCTAATTAACACTTTATGTTAAGAGTTTAAAAACTTGGATGAATTATATATGAAGAAGGATAATGGATACATATATAAAAGGATTGCACATTTTTAATTTAACATTTTTACGAAGAAAAATTAATTTTTTTTATACTTTTTCATACTGTTGAATTCGTAAAAATTTCAGCGACAATTTTATTTTAAGAAATACCGAATATTTTAACTAAGATTTTTTGGATGATAGGTTCAGAAATGTAAATTCATCGACTTATGTAATTTTATGAAAATCCAAATTTTTAGACGACAAAATGACAATATGACAACTTTTGCGTAATCGTTCGGAAGTTTTAAAAAAAGAACATATATCCGGAAAGATCGATAAAGATCGGCGAAAATCGGCGAGTTGATCTAGTAAATTCAATAGTAAATTCGGGTTAAATTCGAGCAGCGCCACAAATTATTCTTAGAACAGCATGACAGAAGATTGTCACCTGATTTGTATTACAAAAGCATACGCGAGTTATGACACTAATAAAAATTGCATGATAATTTTTTGAATTGGAAAATGGTAACATGACTGATAAGTAAGGAATATTCAATAACGAATTAAATTTATGTTCAAAAAAACGTATGATCATATCTACTGTATATGCTATCTCTTTTACGTGTTTATAAAAGTACGAAGGTGTAGATACTATATACAGTAAAGTTGAGAAGATCAGTTTAACACGTTGCAAAATCAATGTAATTAATTAATTAACTACATAAAGTTTCATAGGCACTGTACGCACATGGCGTAATAATTTACAGTACACGCAATCCACGAGTTACTTTTAATCCACTTGAATTACATTCTAAGATGTTTAGATTAGTATTAAATATCCAGCATAGATATTGATATCAAAGTTTTAATGTATCACAAGTTTTAAGAACTTAAATAAGATTGATAGAAGAATGGATAGAAAAAAAAAATATACACAAACAAAAAGTCAAATAATTTTCTAAACATTAACTGAACTTAAAATCTTTTCATTCTGATTGGTACTGTAAAATTTAATCGGGTTTTACCGATAAGAATGTCAAGTGGATATGTTTGGAAACATGAAGATATATTCATGAATTTATTAAAGAGATCGTGAAGATGTATTTATAATAGGTTTAACAAAGTCAATAGAACAAAACAAATAAAATAAATTAGACTTTGGCCATGAATACTATGGTAAAAGATACCAAAATCACTGAACTAATCAGAACTTTAACTACCAATCTACCAAAGAATAAGCTGATCTTTTAGGTGAGAGCTTTAAAGAAACTGATTGAGCTTTCTGTTCTTGACTTAGAGATATAAAAAAGTTAAAATTATCTTTAGATTTAATGCTAACAAGAAATATGAAAATAACAATATATAGTTTATAATTTACACTAGCTTTAATCAATCTTTAGATTTTAATTATAAAAAATAAAGAGAATTTTAAGTATGAAGAAATCTTTATTAAGAGCAAAAAACAATTATTTAAATACATAATTTTTTAGCATAAATAAATTACAATAACTAGTATTATAAATTCAAAAAATTTTTATTAGCACAAATACAAAAAAATATATACAAAGAAAAAATTTATATATGCATTATATATACAGGAAGTACTAATATATGTGTAAATTTAAATCCATATATGTGCTGCACCTACTATGCTAATCCAATTTATATTGCTAACAATAACTAATTAATAGATTAACTTCTTTTTATTTAATTTTATCTTCTGTTATTTTATTACTAATAAACTTTTTCTTGAATAAATACAAGCATTAATAATTAAAAGCTTTATATTTATCTTTTTGATAAATAATGTATATATAAATTAGATAATTTATACATCTAGTTATATAGTAATTTTATATAAACTATTCAAATAAGATATTTTTAGATAAATACTATATTAGGTTTAGACCACAGATAAAATACCAGGTTTGCTTTTACTAAGTGCTTAGTTAGTTTAAGTTTTTATTCTTAGTACTAAACTTAAAATATAAAACTTTTTCTAATCAAATAAAAAGTATTTATTAAGTTTAATAAAGATAAGAGCATGGTTTCACCTTTAATATTAAAAAAAAAAAAAGATAAATACTATATAAAATAATAATAATTATTAGTTTTTACAAAACTGTTTTAAGAAGTTTTAAAAGTTTTTTTATTAGAAAAAGCTATAAAATAGCAGTTTATATAGATTAGTTGAATAGTTAATAACAATTATTTATTTGTTGTCAGACTATTTAATATTATAGACTTTAGAGGCTTATATTACAGAAATTGCTAATTATAGTAATAGTAATAGCTAGTGCTTTTACAAACCAAATCTAAACCAAATTATAGTTAAGTCTAAGTCTAGTTTAATTTTTAAATTAGACTCAAATTTTTATATTTAGACTTTTTAGTCAAGTTTAAGTTTGGTTTGTATCTGATCTAAAGTCTGTAAACTAGTCTAAGTTCAAATATATTTATATATATTTTTTAGTGCTAAACATGTTTACTTAGTATATAAATTTAAAACTATAATTAGACCTTTCTATAATTATCTTCTATATATATAAGTATATTTTCTTTATATATATATATATTAAAAAACAAACTATTATTAAAGATAATAAATTTAATCTCTATAACTATTATATATTTTTGTATTTCAAATAAGTATAAAGAAGTTTGACTATAATTAGTAAAATTTTGTAAATTATAAAATTTTATAGAATTTTTATAAAAGCAAAGTAAATAATGAAAGACTAATTAAAAAGGTTGCTTGAGATATAATTATAGTATACTAGTATTACAAAGAAAGTAAGAAATACAAATATAATAATAGTAGCACAATATATACTAATTAAAAAATTATCAAATATATAAACAAAAATATATATAAAACATAGACTATTTTATTAAGCTTACTTTGAAAATAGACTAATTAAATAAGTTCTAAAGCAAAATATTAAATTTAATAGTAAGATATATTATAAATAAGAAAGACAGCTCTTTCTAATAATCTCTTATACCAAAACTTTACAGAAAAACTAAACTATGAAAACCTTATATATATTATATTTTATATAAATAAAACTCTATCTAGCTGCTATTAGATACAAAGACTATTTATTGAGTATTCTGTTCATTGAAATAGAGTTGAAAAAATTAATAGCAAACAGTTAAACAAGGCACCTTGGCAGGCTTTGGTACTACCAAACAAAGAAGTAGTAAAGCAACTCTAAAGCTTTGTTAAGTACTATAGATATGAAAATAGAAGTAGCTACTTGTTAAATATAATATTTTATATAGTATAACTTATATACTCATTTCTTTAATATATTTTTTACTCTTTTGGCCTCTAATATCTACCTTGTACTCAGCACAATCAAACAAAAATTTGACAGTCAAATACTTGTCAATACTTGTGATTAAGTTGAATATTAAATAATTGCAGATTAACCAATAGTATATATTTAGCTTTGGTTAATCTGCAATTGTTTAATATTTAATTTAAATATAAGTATTAACAGGTATTTGACTATTAAATTTTTATTTAATTGTGCCAAGCACTATACTTACCTATTCTGATAACAAAAAATTTTTTTAAAAAAAGTAAGCAAAACAGCTTATCTTTGCCAAAGGATCAATATTGTTTACAGCTTCTAAATTCAGAAAATATAGTAGATAGCAACTATATATTTGGCCTAAACAAATATAGAGCTACTATTTTGTATTAATCCTAGATCAAGATACCTCTAGAAGTAGCAGCAAGTGGCTTGAAATATAGATCCTCAGATGGTAGCAACACTTAGCTTAAGATATGAACTAGGAGTGGATTAGCTAAAAACTTCTAAAGTTGGTTTGTCAAGATGAAAAAAACTTAGCAGTAAGGCAAAGCTTTATAATAAAGATATATGAATATTGCTTTATAAAGTAGTATATAGAATTTTTGCTAGAAAAATGACCCTACGAGCTATTGTTATATGAGATTTTTATTAAGAAAAACATAATAAATCTATTTTTAGAAAAAAAATCTAGCTACTTCTTCCAAAATAACGATGTTCTCCACTAATAGTAGGCTATTTTTGGAAGAAAATAATATAAGTAGGTGGGTAGTAAAGCCTATTTATATAGAAGAACCAATTAATGATAGTTAGACTCAATATACAGAGCAGACTTTGGTCTCTTGCATAGCTGTGAAAGCCAGGCATACAGTGAGCAACTCTATAGAAGGAACTCAAAAAGTCTTAGCTTCCAACTTATCAAATTCTGCTAAGACTCTCTCCTAAAGTATATTTTTTACAACATCCAAAAAAGTTACTATTCTATCTATTTTTCTAAACACTTTTTTACCCAAATTCAAACCTCCCAAAAACTATTCTCCTGAAGACTCAGATAATGACAATACATTCCCAACTACAAACACTATATTAGGCAAATCTATTAACTCTCCTCTTTCTAATCTACTTGATCTTTATAATCCTACAACATGCTATAACAAATTCCTATCCTACTACAAACTCCAACTTTTACCTTCACTACAAACACTTGCTTTCTTCATATATTTTATTAAATCAAACTACCAAACCTTCTTTTCTAAACATTATATCAAAATTTCTGTTTAAACAAAAACCAAATATAATCCTGAAAAAGCATATATATATTTACTATATGAAACTTCTTTTCTACCTAATCACTTTCTACTTCTTTTTAAAAATCTTTCTAACTTTTAAAACACTTTTCTCAAATCTCACTATCCAACAAATATACCATCTTTACAAACCTGTGAACTCTTCTTAAATCAACC